GATGGGTCAGAAAGATAGTGAGAACCAGAGACTATTTATTTTTTAATATTCATTTTATTCCCCATCCTCAGGTATATGGCAGAGTTACAATGTTACTGATTTCTTGGATTCATATTTGACTACTCATTGAAAGGGAATCTGTTCCTTGTTTAATTGGTTTAGCAATTCTGTAAACCCTCAAGGCACTGTAGTAATAAAAAGCACACTGGGAGATGCGGGTGGAGGTGGGCAATGGAAGATGGCTTAATCAGTAGAGAGCTTATTTGCAAGCATGAAAAACTAAATTGAATCCCCACAACCAATGTAAAATTAGTTTGGTGTGGTAGTGTGTGCTTGAAATCCCAGAGCTGGAGGGGAGAGGTGGAGACAGATATCTGAGGTTTAAATGGCCAGCTAGTCTGCCCTATTTGGTGACTTTCAGGTCAATGAAAGACGTCAACAAAGGGTGAATGGAGCGTGAACAGCAAAGTTGACCTCTGATCTCCACATCCAAGTATGCACATGTTCATGTGCACTATAACCACACATATGTAAACATACACACACACACACACACACCATTCTGAGCCTACTCCCATCCAAGCAATAATAGCAATAATATCCGGTCATGGAGCTATTGATAAGGAGAGACTGGGTGAAGAGACCAAATAGACCTTGCATGGTGGTCAGCAGCAGCCCGGGTTTCACTAGAGCACCATGAGAAACTGTGTTAGCTAGACAGGGGGGGAAGTTGCTCAAGACACCAGGAAAAGCATCTGTTGCTTCAGGGATAAATAAAACAGCCAACAAGTCATGAATTAAAGCACAAACATGTGACCCAGTGTGGCTTGGGTGTGGAAAGAGGCAAGTCAGTAAGCTAGAAGACTCTGTGGGTCTCCACAAAGAATAGGGACTTTCCATCTCTCGTGGATGGATTAGCAGGAACCAAATCCTGATAAGGAAAAGACTGTGAGTGCAGGACTAAACTCAGCATTTGGAGACCATGAAGCAAATACTAAGAACAATACATAAAATTAAGGGGTAGGTGCGGGAAATGTAAATTTTCTATCAGAGAGGGTTAAATGTGATAAAGAATGTTCCAGCTTTAAAGAAATTTGTGAAAACAGCACCTGGCAAAACTCGCTCCCTGAGTCAGTATTTTTGTACAATTAAAGTTTATTGCCCCAGGTTACATCCTTCTCTCAAAAACTTCCAACTGCTTAAGAGTATGAGAACAACCTCTGACCACTCAGAATAAGGCACAGAACCTCACTGCTTTAAGAATAAAACTCCAGAGAGACCATTGCTGGCTGTGCTTGCCTATTTGATTTGGCACAGCTATGCACCCTTATGCATAAGTAAAACATTTTGCCTTGCTGAAATACTTTAGATTGTGTGGTTATTTTCTTGAGAACTCAGACAAGTTTCTAACAGTGGGATATTCAAGTTGAAACAAAACAGAATCCAGTATTGAGAAGCTGAATGGAACTGACACTTCAGGAAGTACTGCAGTCTTTCCATACCTGATTCCTCTTTGAACTGTCTCTGGGATCTACATATACAACAGAAAAATAGCACATTTCTCCAAATATTTAGCTACAGAGGCTTATAAACCATGATCTTGCTTCCAGCTCAGACTTGAGCTTCATTGCATCTGAGTTAATCTTTTAAAAAGTTAATTGCCTTATGAAGAAAGATTTAGACACTGCTTTTCCTTAGTTTTTCCTTTTTTCTTTGTAAACTAAAAGCTATTTTTAAGCAAGCTGGGTATGTCAGCACAGGCCTATGATCAAAGCTCAGGCAAGAAGATTTCAAGTTCAAGGTTTGCTTAGACTACAGAGTAAGTTAATTCGAGCCAGATTAGACAATTTAGTGAGACCCTGTCTCAAAGTAAATTGTAAAAGGATATAATACTTGCTGTATAGCAGAGCACTGGTCTAGCATGGAGGAGGCCCTGGGTTCAAACTTCTGTACCAAAAGAAATAAGAAAGACCCTGTTCATTATATTAATATAAAGCCATAAATATCTACTTGGATGATCAGAGAGCTAGGTTTATATCATACATAATTTATGGATTCACAGGTAAATACTTGGTTTTTCACCTCTGTGGGTAAAAATCTTTCATAAAAACAATTTTTATAAACAAGACATGTGTGCACAGCACCTTGCTGTCTCTAGATGTACCTTATCACATCAGTGTTAAAGTGGAGTGTAAACACACACCTCCATCTTTCAGCTGGCAAAAATGCTGTCTTTTGTATAGTACCAGAAAAAAAAAATGCCTAGTGTATCTGTCTGTTATAGAATCTGTCAGTGTGTGACCCAAAGGGGAAGCTGCCTGCAGAGATGGACAAAGACAGCTCTATTGTGACAACCTTTCTCTGTTGAATTAAAGGTTGAGAGGGCAAGAAGTGGCTTTGAATGCTTTTGAGATTACCAAGAAGCAGGTTTATTACCTACATAAGCTTTTTTTTTTTTTTCTGTGAATCCTGATGGTTTATGAGAGTAAACTATCAAAGCAAAAGTTGAACTTGAAAAGGATCACTGTGAATATTTGAATGATACTTCCTGACTCAATTGTATTGCACGGTGATAATC